TTGACTTATAAGAGAGGTGTTTGGTTATATCTTCACTAAGCTATGGTTTTAGCTTTTAGAATTGATTAATTTGGTTATCCAAACATGCACACTATTACCTGTATTTCAATTCAACTTTTCAGTTTTATTTTTCTAAAAATCATATAAACTATTTTATAAATTATTTTTGAATATATTTTCACAAAACCATGATTTGTAGCTTATGGGAAATTATCCAAACCTCTTTTTTTTTTAGGATTTTTCTTCTTAAACAAATATCACAAAACTGCAAGTTAAAATTAAATTATCCCACCAATAGAAAAGTGCCAGCAAAAAACGCAAGAGGAGCAGATTTTGGATTTTTGTTAAGAAAATATGGGTGAGACAAAAGAAAGCAGAAATAAGTCAATACAAGCAACACAGAGAAAAGTGCAGAAAAGACGTCTAAATACAAGCTGAGAAATTAAGAAATCTAGAGAGAGCTAGCATGGGGTGATGTTATGAACAGTAAAACTGTGAAAGAATACAATTTTATGAAGTACCCATGCACAAAAGAGTAAGAGAAATCAAGTAGGCCACCTCTTCCTCCAATCTCTTTTGAACTCTTCCATGTCCTTCATTCTCTCTTATCCACGTTGAAAAAGCAATGAATTCATAGTTTCAGGGCTCAGATCTCACTCATTCATAGAAAGGAAGTGGCAAGCCGAGAAAGAGAAAAGAATGAATGATTGATGACGAAGAGATAATAGAAGAGGAATATCTGCTTTTTGTTTGAGCAACACATCTGGTCCTTTTTTTGTTTGGCCACTGTATCTGAGCCTTATTTTGTTTGGCCACTGTATCTGAGCCTTATTTTGTTTGACCAATATATCTGTGAAGATGCTTTTAGTATTTTGAACAAAGCCATGTTGTCTGGGACCCATTCTTTTTGACGTGGAGTGCATGCTTTTCGACAATGATAATGTTATTAAAAAAAAAAAATTGGATCACATGATTTTGCTACGAAAGTTGCTCATTAAGACAAATTGACCTTCATTAAAAAAAAAAAAAATCTCGTCATCTTCTATTCATAGTCTAGCGGCGTCTACTCAATTGAAAATATCTATATGGAACCCAAATTGCCCATGAAGATTCTTTTATTATAGGATTATAAAATAAACATTTGATACTTCATTTTTTTTGGCCCAAATCTCGTCATTTTTTTTTTGCATTTGAAAATAAAATAAAAATGGAGCAAGTACCGGAGACAAAAAAAAAAAAGTGTTTTGTTATACATATCATTTTAGTGTGTGAATGTACATCAATTAACTTGAAATCCTACGTCTTAGAATTCGATGCTTCAATTAACAAACCAATGGCAAGCTAAGGACTCTCAGTATTTAAGTCATAAATTATATAAAATATAATATACTCCAACCAATAGCCATGTTCGCAAAACTATGGGACAAAATTTTCTCATGGAACTCCCAATTTTTCTGGAGTCTAATGGCGAATCTTTTTAAAATTAATTTCAATTATTGATTGGCAGATAACATGATTTTGTAAACGATTGGTGCTCATTAACACAATTTCTTACTAAAAAAAGTCTTGTCATTTTCCGTTCAAAATCTAGCAACATCGCAACTACTCAATTAAAAATATCTATATGGAATCCAAATTGCCCGTGAAGATTCTTGTATTATAGGACTATAAAATAAACAAGAAAGAGAAGTTATAAAAATGACCATTAAAAAAAAATCATCTTAGATATAGTTTGAGTGGGTGGCTTGAGGAGAATTATTACAAATCCATTTTTAATAACTTAGATATATTTTAGTTTAGGTTCATTGGGTACTGTTAAGAAATCACCGACTAATTAAAATAATTAAATAAGGAAGTCTCTAGAATTATGAAGAATACAAGCTGTAAATGATAATTCTAGAATAATAAGGAATTAGGTTTGAATGGCGACAGAAGAAGGACCGAGAAGGCTGAGGAGAAAAACTCCACCGACATTGGAGTAGCACAAACATGTGTGTGTCAATGTGTGTGTGTGTGTGTGTGTGTGTGTGTGTGTGTGTGGGGTAGCGAACATAAGGGAAGAAGAGAAGAAATTGGGGTGTTTATGGGACAAAACAGGATCGAGACACCCCTATTACATGTCCTGTCTAAAAAGAATTTAAGATTGAATTTTTATCCTGTGTCCCGTTTTGTTATTTAAGAGTGTAGTGTGTGTGTCAGAGGGAAAAAGTAAAAGTGTTCACGGGACAGGACGGGACCGAGTCACTCTCGTCTAGAAAAAAAGATCAAGACTAAATTTTGATCTCGTGTTGGTCTCATGTCCCGTCCCGTCTCGTCCCATTAGGAGTCGGGACGAGACTGGGACAAGATCAAAACGTCTCACCATCCCGATAAATCGGATAATATTAGAGATCTGAATAATAATGTTCATTAAAATTTTAAATGATATAATTTATTAAGTTTAAAATCAAAACAACACAAGTACATCACAATAATTTAAAGTCAATTATTGAATTACATTAATCATAACTATACATTATAATGGCAAATATAAGTGATCTTTAGGCTATAAGAGTAGCAACAACAGACAAGTCGAGCACAACATCAAATCATTGTTCTTCTAATCATTGTTCTCCTACTTTAGTAGAGATGTACTAAGCTAATTACTCTTGTAAAAATAAAGTAAGAAATACGTTATAAATAAACGTTATTAAATAAATAGATAAAAGAATAAATTATATTAATAGAATTAATATATTATAAAGAAAGATATCACCATGTTTACTTCATGTCATTAAAATTATCAATATAAAAAACACTTTAGTTTTAAATACGAATTGCAAGTATTGAAATTATAATTGATATAATTAATATAAGTATAAATTATATTAATATAATTAATATATTTGAAATAAAAAATAATATATATATATATCTATAATATTCAGGACGGGATGGGATGTCCCGATGGTAATCCCGTGTCCCATCCTGTCCCGAACCCTTTTCCTATCTTGTCCCGTAAAGTTTCATTACAATTATTTTCGGGTCGAGACAAGACCCGTTTTAATATGATCGGGACGATACCGAGTCAATCAAGATGAGTCTAAGTTAAACACCCCTAAAAAAAAAAGAAAAGGAGAGGAGAGTGAGACAAAAATATAAGTAGGGTAATGGGTGTTTGTGTACACTATAGTTTGAGTTTTTAATAAAAATATATTTTCAATTAGTCCCTCTCTTCATCAAACTCCACAGGTTCAAATGTACATCATCAAACTCCAACGGTTTCAAAGTTTCAGAAAATTTAAATCCCAAAAATTTACAAAAATACAGCTAAGTCCTTTGATAATTCTGTCAATGTTCAACATATTCAATGAATCCTCCATCTAATGGGTCCATTGCAAAGTTGATATCATCACCGACGGGTCGTCTTTTTTTGACTAACTGCAGTATATGGTGAACCTGCTACTACTCGTAGATCTGATTATTTTCTCCAACAAATAGAAACAGAGGGAGTATTATTTTTACCATGAGGCTTTTATTATTTTGTATTCTCATTTACTATGTCAGATTTTTAAATATTTACTGGATTATAATTTTAAAAATTTCCTATATAAAAAATAAAAAAGTCATATGAATAAGTCAGATAGGTATAGGTCTACAATATTCATCCAACGAACTATATATAGGAGTATAATATATGGATAGATTTCTTTGGTAAACATATAGATAGATTTTATTAAAAAGTAAAATATGTTTTTTTTAATAAAAAAATTCAGATTGCACTCTATGTATCTACCGTGCAATCCTACAAATGTTTACTTAATATTGTAGACTAGACTAGATTTATTCCAGGGCAATGCACTTGAAATTGAAGACTTATTTAACTATTTAAGGACTTAAGGCTTGAATACATGATGACTGTCTAATGATAAAAAAATTAAATTTATATAAGAAAATCTTAACAAAAGCATCTTAAACATTGAGAATTAAAGATGTCAATTTTATATTATCTTAATGCCTGACTTTAATGTTGATAAAAAATTCCTAATTTTAATAATTTTACAACCTGGTAATTGTACTTTGATTTAAATTGTTAATTTATTTAATCATATGACTTGTAAATCCAGTTGATTATTAATCATCATAAAATTATATTTAAAAAAAAATACTTTTAAAATAAAAAATAGTGAATACATATCATATGTATGAGATAAAAAAATTTATATGATATTTTATTTTGAACATTGACTATGTGAGATACGTTGGCACTTGGCAGATCATTTAACTTAAAAATTATATTAAATTTAAGTATAAATTTTCCTTCTCTAAGGATAGGTTTGCGATCTTTGGCGTTAAACAAGGGATAGATGTGCGATCATCAACTTCTAGCTAGAGGATCTATTTTTTCTTTTGGTAAATTAGAGGATCTGTTTTTATCTGGATATATAGATGCATTGCCAATGAAAATAACAATAAAATTGAAGCATGCAAGGTGAAAAGATTTTAGATAATTTGTATGGTTTTTTTAGTGTTCATCCGGTCATTAGAGTGAATTTAATATTATTAGTATTTCAATTTCAATTTAAAATAAAGACAAATAAAAACATTTGTTGAAAATAATACTAAAAATAAAAAAATATAGGATTTAACACATATATAGGTTTTAATTTATGTTAGATAAATTCCATAAAATCTCTTTTGGTGATCAAGCATATATCTAAGTAGTTGAAAGTTGTCATCGGTAATAAAAAAAGTTTAAAAATATTAAATATAAAACCTGAGTTTCAGGAAATCTGGATATATTTCAAATATCTTGTTAAGATTTAAAATTTTTAAATGACCTGGCCACTCTCACTCTAAAATGAGAGCGAGGGATGCGAGAAGGACCTGCGTGAACAAGCCTGGAGCGAGTGACACGATAGAGTGATCGTGACTTCGTGAGAAAGCGAAAGAGACACGAAAGGTGATCGCGAGAGAGAGAGAGAGAGAGAGAGAGAGAGGTGATCGAGAGAGAACGAGAAATGAATACAAGGGTCGCAAGGAGAAGTGATGAGGTTGCTTGTCATAGGGACACCAGAAAGCCCTCAAGGTTTCTGCAGAATCAGAATCAAACTTCAACTGCACGCACTGGCAAAGCCGATAACGGTGCAAGATCCTCTAAGCCCAAACCCCAGTCATCAGCAATAGTTTGCAAGTACTGGATCAATGGAAATTGCGCGCATGGCGATCGTTGTTGGAACTTGCATTCCTGGTTTCAGGGCCATGCCGTTTCTCCGTTCACTAAGCTCCATCAACACAAGAAGGTACATAAATTGGTTAATCATGGTTAGCGATTATGGCTAGGCATTTGGGTGGGGAAATTAATTGTAATCCCTCGTGGTTAGTCCCCATTGTTTGGGGTTTGTACATCTAATTTGTTGTTATAAACCCTTCAAAGTGAAGGATTATTTTTGTTGTAAGGTTCAATCATAATCATCAAATTAATCAATTCATTTTTCTTCCATTATTCAAGTCTTAACATTTGTCCTATCATTTTATATATTGTTATTTTTACTCGAGTACTAAACCTTAAATTACAGCTCTAGATTGTCACCGGAATTACACTTCCGGTTGTATCGGACAAACTATTTTCCAGTAGCACTGATGGGACAGTTGGTGTATGGGACTGCCATACGGGTCAATGTGTTAAACATATAAATCGGAGTGCTGAAGCAAGGTGTTTGATCAGTGCGGGTTCGTGGGTCTTTGCTGGTGTGGGCAATACTGCTAAAGTGAGCTCCAAAACTTCTTCATTTGTTGTGTCTCTTATGTTTCATGCTTCATGCTTAACTTTACTCACATTGATTGTCTTGTTGTGATTAATTATTATGAAGGCTTGCAACATTCAGACAGCTGCTGAGCTCACTCTTGATGGACCTAAGGGTCATATACTTTCCATGGCTGTTTGCAACGATGTACTTTTTGCTGGAGCAATGGTAATTAATTGTTTATTAAATGTTTTGCCAAGTTCTGTTCGATGTTATATTTACACCTGATTTTATTATGATCTCACTTTGCCTTTATCTCATATCTAGGATGGTCTTATTTATGCATGGAGTGCCATTTCTGAAGCTAATGTCCCATTTAAACCATTGGCAATGTTAAATGGCCATAGCGGAGCTGTTCTTTGCTTGGAAGAAAAGTCTGTCAATGTAATATGATTTATGTTTGAATATTTTTGTTAAAAAAAGTCAGTTAAATAAACTAAAATTTATTTGAATAATTTTATTCAAAAGCTAGTTGATATGTTTAATGGCAAAAATAAGTATGAAATTTTTAATATATATTTTTTGACTAATTAATAACTAAAAAAATTAAATTTAAAATTATAACTAATAAGGTAAAAAATCTTAAATATCAAACATAGAAGAGAAGAGAGAGAAAGCATAAGCCAATAGACCAACACAGAAGTCAATGTGAACACAAAAGCTAGAAATCCTAGCTTTAATAAAAAAGCTTGTTCAGACTCTAACTCAAGTTGCAATTTTTTTGTAATCCAAATAAGTTTTTTAAAGCTTTTCTCATCTTAACCTCAATTGACACATCCTAACTTAAGTTATAAAATAATCCAAACATGCTCTACACATCAGTTTTTGTTATCAGCAATATTTGGTTTGATTCAATCCAATTATTTAGACCAGTTTGATTAATTGATTTTGGTTAATTAACACCAAATCCAACTAAATTAATTAATGCATACCCCTATGTGAAGTGATAAATTCATTTAAAAAGCTAATGTTTGATATTTTAATTTGGAATGTATATAATGTGGTAAATGAGTCTCTATTTTCAAAAGTTTGATGATTAAATTTGTATTTTAAATAATAACACTGCATATTTATAATAATTAGATATGTGATATTTAAATTTATTCACTCATAGAATGATATTTTATTAAATCTAATTTTTTAATTCAAATTCTACATTTAACACCAATAACTTTAAAGTTTGATGCCCGTTTAGATGTTTTCAATTTGATGGTTAATGATAGAAAAGAGAAAGATAAAAAGAAAAAAATAAAATATTTTAAAATTCTACTTTTAACTTTCACATTATATAAAATATATCTATTTATGTGATTCTATATGATTTTTTTTTGTTTGATGCTATCTTACGACATAAATATAAAAAAATTAAATAATATAGTATATAATTTTCTTATAAAATTATAATTTAAAAATAAAAATAATTAAAAAAATAAAATGTAATGTAAAAACAAGTCAATTACATTACTTAAGAGTTATTATTAATTAAAAGTAAAAATAAAATTTTAAATAAAACTAGCTAGAAACATAAATAATTATAAACTAATGTATAATCATCAATATTTTTATTATTTATTCTTAGATATGTTTTATATCATAATTTTAAATATGAATATTAAAATAAATAATATAACAACCTCAAGAAGTAAAAAAAATTAAAATAAATAGCACAAATGACATTGTATCAATTATATTTATAGTTTACTTTAAACAAATAAATAATATAATTTGCAATTTTAATATATGAAAAGAATTAAATTGAAGTATTTAAGGATAGTAATGATATTTTATAATATTTAATATTTAATATATATGTGTGTTTATAAAGTTTAATAACATATATATATATATATATATTTAATTATACAATAATAAACTGCAAGTTCATTTCAATTCAATGATAAAATGATGGGACATAAAAGGAGAGAGATGATAACACATGGCGTGAGGTAGAGGTGACACATGAAGGGTGATATAGTGACATGTGGCATGTGGTGAGAGTGACACGTGAAGGGTGACAAGACGTCATGTGTGTAAGTAAACCAGTATTACTTTTCAGCGGCGATAAAAAAGTTACTGATTGGTAGTTTCTGCAGCGACAAATGCCATTGCTAATACTTAACTTTTCAGCAATATTACTTTTAACATTGTATGTTGTCATGTCAAGCGCTAATATTGTGTTTCCTCTTTGATTAGATTCGATGCAAGAGGAAGATTGATTCGAGTGATAGAAGGCGCCCTGGTGGACTCTTTTTCACTGGAGACGGCACTGGTTTGCTCACTGTTTGGAAATGGTTAGCAGAGTCGGAGCTTAAGTTCGCACCTTCATGATTCCCAATCTTAATTATGTAGTTTAATTTAACCATAGAGTTTGTATCTTCTTCGTGTTGGACAAGATCATAGCAAGATTATTGTGTTTCAAAATATTTGTTTGCAACATCATAACAATTCTGGGTCTAAAGATTGTATATATTCATTCCTATTTGTATTCTATCATTGTACAATCGGTATAGCTTTATCCAATTATTAGTTCTGATTCTTTCCATAGATGTCTAATTTTTTTTTAAAAAAAAAAACCAAGCAGAACAAAAAAAATGTGTTTTTTGAAGCCAACATGTTTGCTGACGATGCATTATCTGTAAAAAAATAAAATTTTAAGAAAAGATATTCGGAGCATATATTTGAATAATAAGAAAGAAGTTATGCTTATGCTATCAAAAAAAAAAATAGGAATCCATAAAATAGAAATAAGAAAAAAAAGATTTATTTAATTTAATTGATTCACATTCGTTTCATAATTTTATTTAATTGTTGATTCACATAGTTTACCTTATGTTGCATTTTTTATCTTAATTTCATTTTTTTTAATTATAACGCTAGTGTATTACAAATATGCATTTGCTCTCTTAGTTACATTTCCTTCTACCTTTTTCCGTCCAAGCAGGGGTTTGTAATAAAGTTTTTAATAGAGACTAGCTCAACTCTTATGGCTTGTTCACACAAGATGAATTTTAAGAGATTGGGAATGAGCTTATGAGTGGGCATGGGAATGGGTTTAGGAGTGGGAATAAGTTGTAAAACTTATGCTATGGGCATGCTTAAATAAAAAAAATATTTAATATATGTAATTATATTTTTTTAAAAGACTACAATATCCATGATCTGGAAGGTGAAGGTTAGCCACCCGCAAGCAATTGCTTCCCTCGCCCCATTTACGTATGTACATCACCAAGGGACCAACTAAAGGGCTCATATACAAAAGAAGTTTACTTTCTTCCCAGTTACCTGATTCCACATATCAACACCATATTCATTGCTTCTTCCTCTATAGCTACAAAATATCTTTGTATCTAAGCTGAATGTCAAGTCCCACATCGAAAGGACTTGAAGAGGGTCCTAACTATATAAACGGATGTACTACACACCTTAATGAGCTAGCTTTTGGAGAGAGAGTAATGGCATCGTAATAAAATGATATTAGAATCAGACCTGAGTTTGTCCAGTCGGTGGCCACCTGTGACTGAGGCATCACGGATTGGTCGAGAAAGTTGTCAAGTCCCATATCGGAGGGACTTGGAGAGAGTTTTAGCTATATAAATGGGTACGCTGCATAGCGCATCCTTTAATGAGCTAGCTTTTTGGGAGGAGAGTAATGGCCCCGTGACTTGAAGCTCAAAACCCCATCTCAACACAGATCTTGAACTATACAACCACCAGCGATGGACAGCTGGAGAAAAGAGAGATAGCATCGAACCAGAATCTATTACCAGTCCCATTTGTGCCACTCACTAACGTCGACGATGGTATTCTCAGAGTCTCCCTCCATGGCATTGTTCTCCTTGTTCACATACAAATCGAACATGCTCAGCCATCGTTCTCTTTCTCCTTCTTGAACGTCGCCTTTGTTGCCACTGTTCTTGAGCTTTCTTTGTTCGTCATCACCTGTTTCCAACTCTAGTAAACAAATTTTTCTGTTGATTAGCCACCAACTGTGCACTAGATCGAAGAGGGAGGAGGAGGTGAATGTGGAGACAAAGGAGATAGAGGCAACATTTCGACGATGGAGGTTTAATTGATAAGAAAGGGAGGCATTTTTGTGTGAAAAGTTTAAATCTTCAATGCCCCCTCCCATGTGGGTTTGCTCGATCCCACCTTCATGGGTTTTAACAATCCCAAATAGTAACCAATCATTGTATCGAAGATGATAAAAGGTAGGCTAACTCAATCACAAGCCCAACCCCAACTTTTCAATACCATTTACCAAATAAGGCCTATAAATCTATTCATGAGTCATACATGCTCCTTCTCTTAAAAATTATAGGACATTTTTAATTAAATTATAAGAAATGACTCAATTATAAATTTTATTAATTACACCTTCTAATTAAGAATATTTTAAAAAAAAATTATTAATTGCAACTTGCAAGACCAAAATTCCTCACCAACTAGTGGGAGTAATTAGGTCCAAAAGAAAGAATTAATCTCTCACAATGTGACGAATTAAAGTTAAAATTTCCATCAAGAAATGTACCTACATTTAGTGCCTAACCATGCTTTAAACATGATTGACTCCAATAGGAGGATATTTGGGAATAATAAATAAAAGACCAAAATGTCTTATATTTTTTAACATGAGACTTTAAAAAATGCATTATGATATTAAACAAGGCAGTACTTGGAAAGGATTTTGTTGGTTAACATGCTTCTTTTATTGATCATAATGAATAGTACTACTTATTTTAAACTTGATGCAAAAGGTGTGGCTTAAACTAGTTTTAAGAAAATAAAATGAAAAATTTTAATTAATTAATTTTATTATCTTAGGAAAGTTAACTTCATGAATCAATCAACCTTCCAAATTGAAATTCGTAACGCCCAAGGAGTAGTCTAGCCTTTTGGAATGGTAGATTGTTTATTAGTGTGAGATAATTAGTGGGACCCGTTTCAAAAGATGGACTCATCTTAAACTCTGCCCCTTTGTTCAGATGAAGAGAATAATAGGGAGGGAAAAAAAATAGGAGAGAAAACTCTTAAAAGAAGTAAATTTATTTTATTATTTTTAAAAGTTTATCTTCTAAATTTCTTTATATATATATATATATATATTTTCCTCCTACTTTCCTTCCATTCAAACCACGTCTAAATTTATCACAAAAAATTGGAGGTGCATAAAACTAATTGAATTAACCTCAAACAAGTCAAAACCCATAGAATCAGTGGTTAGACCAATTGAACTTGTCACATTTTTTTCGTTTTTTAAAATTTAGTCAATGTTTCTAAGATACAATTTATGTATATCTATATATATCAAATAAGTATGCTATTTAAAAAAATCAAATAAGTATATAAAAAAGACAAAAATGAACAAATATATGAGAAATATTTAAATATGCATTATAAAATTATAAATTAAGAAATAATATCTATATATTACATAGGATTAAAGTGATAAAGTATCGATGGATATTACCTTTTTTCTATATAATATTTTTATTTGGATTTAATTTTTTTTGTTATTATGGATGATTATTGTTTCTTAATTTACACATATATTTTTAAAATGTATAAACTTATTTATGGCTAGTTCAACAACGATTATGATCCGATCATTAAGGCGTGAATTAATATTTCAACGGGCTTAATGGTGGGGTTGGTTTTCTTAACCTTCCAATGGAGATATATCACACCAAAGAAAACACGTTTTATTCTTGAAGGCATATGCTTGCAATTAACTCAGTCTGAGCACAAATTTAGAAATACCAAATGTACGTGCAGTAGGCACAACACTACAATAACAGGTGCACACAACTAATATGTTTTCTTTCCAAATATCAAACGTTATAAATAAAATCTTGAAGATCAAACAACGAACAACGCTCCTGGATGGAATCAACGATCAAGCATAACTTGTGTAGTGATTGTGGCTTCATGTCCAGATACTGCCTTCATGCCATATTACTGCTGCTTGGACCAAACCTGTCCCTGCATATATCATCAAATGAGTTATATCAATTAAAAAGTGAGAATGACAATAAAGTTCTAAAATAAGTAATCTATAACAGTTTGAAAAATAAATTACAAGTATAGATTCATACAGTTTGAAAATGTTAGCTAGAAAAAAAAAAAAAAGAATAGAAAACAAATGCCAGTTTAAGTAGATGCTCGCTCTGTTTTTCCTATGCAATTTCTGATTTAAGCAATCTAAGTGATGAATGATTATATGACATCCAATTTGGAAAATGCAAGGCAAATAATTAAATTTTCCGCATAATTTTTTTGACACACATATATAAGGTATATGTTAATTATATATGTTTGTCTGTGTTAAGTAATAAAGTGATTGAGTAAAGTATTGTTCTCCCATGGTTGACTCTAAGACTTGTTAAATATCTAGTCACACTATGGCTCAAGTCAAGCATATCATTATCACACAAAGAATGGAAGCAAAATATGAATTAATTAAATCTAAGACAATGTTAATGCTTGGTAATGATGATATTAGAAAAGTGGTGATTTAGAGATTACAACTACTATTATGTTGTGGGGTCTAATTACTCTTTTAATTATAATGAAAGCTGTATTTGCTCGTCTAAAACTCTTATCTTAATTCCCTTCAAATGACTAATAGTTATTCCAATTATATAAATATCTATTTTTTAAGTGATTATTTAATTAGAGGAAGTGTGCATCTGAAGGCATGTTGCAAAGTGTCACGTTCTAATTAAATTCTATTGCCCATGCTATAATCGTGTGTTATGCGTATAATGCATCATGCACGCAAGTTTTGTTGAGCTCAAACGTTGTTTCACCTCAATATTTAATATGGTTTTGAGAAGAAAAATTGAAAAATGATAAGCAAGAAAGCATATATTAAAGTCCAAACCATTCATAGGCTATCAACAATAGACGGGTCAATGTGCTTTGAATACCCTGTGATAGATGCTCTGTTTCTTACCATGCAATTACTAATTTAGGTAACTAAATGATAAATGATCACAGGCATCCTACTAAGCAAACAGAAGCCAAAATCGTTCATAAAAGCATATGCATGCGCAGCTATACAAATCTAGAAAATACATTTGAAAATAGCTTTAAAATCATTCAGATCAAAAGAAACTAATAAGTGCACCCAAATATGTCTTCTTACCAAACATCAAACTTTATAAAAATTAAAATCAGCATTAACAGTAATATAAATTAACAACTCACGTGCGGAATTAAATCAAGATATTGTGGCTCGTTCCATTAGAATACTGCCTTCACGGTATATTACTGCTGCTCGGAGCAAACTCGTCCCTGCATGTCTCCATGCCACATTACTATGAGAAATTGAATAATGTAATAATCAAATTATATGTAGTGGATAAAAAAATTACAACTAAGAAATCATTGTATATTTAATAAGCTTATTGTTTGTAATTAAATCAATACATGTGAATTTTTATATACTATTTATTCTATAACAAATTCTTTAATTATTAATATTTTTAATACTTTTAAAATTCATTTTTTTAATTTAATTGAATAGAAATGTATAAGGCTAAAACACTTAAATCTTCCTTTTACAGTATATATACGTGCGTACTAGGGTAATTGGAAAATCTTTTGAAACATACCGCTTATCGCAATCGACAAAGTATGATTGAAGGAGATTCTTGGCTTCAGGTTGGTCCCATTGCAGCGATTGCCACCATTCATTGTGACATAATATTTGTTGGAGAGTGGTTGATAGTGAGATTTGCTGACCAGCCTCTACTCCAAACAGACCCAAAGGCAACTTCTTCAGAGCATTGCGGCCCACAACTGCAATAGCGCGTAGAGAATTACATTGAATGTTCCCTTTGTATATGCTTTTCAGACTTGACAAATGATACAATTCCAACCTTTGCAATTTTGGAAGGAACACTTTGGCTGCTTGGCTGCTGTCTTCAGCGTTTGTATTCCTCTCCCCTTCAATAATTTCTTCCATATACCAGAAATTGATGATGATAACTTCTTCCAGACTTTTAAGCTCGTCCATGAGCTGCCTTGGGAACAGACATTTCAACGAATTACATTTAAACACATGAATACTCTTGAGGTTCATTAGAGTACATGGTCTCACCACTTTCCCACAGATCATCCTCAACTTTGGCAAATGACTCAGATGCATTGTCTCTAGCCGAGACAAATTATTCTCCTCTGATTCAAAAATGCATTCCAAATCAGGACACCATTTTACTTGGCACCTTTTCAAGTACATTGCATTCCATAAGTGCAAAGACAAGCATTTCATACCGACAAATTGAGATATTATTAACTCCTCTACATTTCGTGGAATCAATGCAGTAATCTCGTCTTCTGAAACATTGCTTCGTTCGTATCCCCCACATATTGCCAAACTAGTTTTCTCAGACAATTCTAGAAGCGCTGATTCTGAAAAGCCGACAAGAAGCTTCAACTCCTTTAATTGATAATACTTCATTAATTTAGCAAATTCCCGATAGTCTTCAAAGTCAAGGAATTGCATGTGTAGAAGAGACAGATTACGACAGGATATGATTTCTTCCACTATCACTGGATACAAGGTGCGATTTGCTCTCACAGATGATACCCCAATCATAGGAGAACCCAACATCAACAAGCCCTCCAGAAGAGTAAATTTGGATACGAGTCCAGCTGGTAAGTTTTGGATAGACGTGTAGGAGAAATCTAGGTGTCTCAAATAAGTCAATTGTTCCATCCCCTGTGGAAGTTCTGTTAAACCTCTAGACAATGAAAAATCTAAGTAGTTCAATTTAGTGAGCCTTTCTAAGGATGGAACTTTATCAAGATTCCAACAGTGGCTCAACAACAAGGCATGTAGATTCTCCAAATTTGAAAGAGACACCGGCAAAACACTAATCCCAGTATAGGAGAGATTAAGAACTTTTAGCCCATGCATGTTGTCAAAGAAGTGGTGTGATATGTCTTCTTCAAATGAGTTGTATTGAAGCAGCAAAGAAGTGAGTCTAGGACACATTGGACTGAAGTCTATAGATTTCACATCATTTCTCGTCAACGATACCCATTCAACATCCTCTCTCCATTCCGGAGGTATTGGTGGCTTTACTCGTCCGATGCCAGCATTCACAATGCATCTAGGCTTTGTACTCAAGATTGGGATGGCCATATCTCTTACCATATCATGCAATTTAACAAATCTCACCCCATTTTCAATCTTCAATTCCAGCAAGCACGCTGATATTAGTTCATCTATAATCATTTGCCCCTTTCGTTTCATAACAGACGTGCTTGGACCTTGCAATAAATCTTCCCACACCCAATAATTAATCAATTCATTCTCCTCAATTAGGTGACCTTTTGGGTATAAACCACAATACAGAAAGCAATGTCGCCTTGTATCATCCTTTAGTTTTGAATAGCTCAACTTCAAACGAGAACATACTACTTCATAAATGTTGTATGTATCAATACTTGAAGTTCTTAACTCTTCCAATGCATTCTCCCACTCTCTCATGTTAGTGGTGTCTCTCAATGCACGTCCAACTGCAACAATAGCTAGAGGCAAACCACCACATTCTTTTGCCACATCCATTGCAATTGATTTTATATTTGGATTTGATAGCACTTGTTCCCCAGCTTTGTCCTTGAAGAGATTCCATGCTTCTTCTTCTAAAAGAACTTTCACTTCCACATTTTTGTCTGTTTCCATCTCTCTGCACACTCTAATGTTTCGAGTTATTATCACTAATTTACAACAATTCTTTACTGTTGGCACAGGGATTCCAACATTTTCAAGATTGACTGGTTCCCAGACATCATCTAAAATCAGTGTAAATTTATTCCTTCTTTTAAAAGTATGAAACAATTTTAAGGCTCTTATTCTTTCATCATCAGTTTCTTTAAAAGTCAAATTCAACTTCACAGCTATATCCTGCTGCAACTTCTCTAGATCATTTGACGCTTCCACCCAAATAACAGTTAAATTCGCTACTATTATTCAACAGGCTATTGTTAATTGCTAACATAATAGTTGTCTTGCCTACTCCTCCCATTCCCCAGACACCAATCCTTCTGGCATTCCTATCAAACAAGAACTCCCAAATCCTCATAAAAGTAAGTTTGTGTGTTTGGTTTTCCATCATTGGCGTTGTAGGCAAAATATCACCTCTTCTGCTTACAGGAATAGCAATATCCTTTGAATCTGGAACAGTCTCTAGAAGTTCACGAATATCTTGGATCTTCTCTTCAACAAGTTCCCCTAACTTGATTCTTGAACAAATAAAACAGCATCCTTTAATTTGCCTATGCGGGCCATTTTCATCCACGAGGTTGCACACTTCTCTTTCTACCTGATCAACTTGCTTAAGCCATGTATTACAGAAATTTGTTGATTCTGCCCCCATTAGATGCTGCAGTTGGTTTATTTCATGTTCAACACCTCTTGCGCGAGCAATCAGCCTATGCATCAAATTATTCAGCTGCCGAATACTCCTCGTGGGTGTTCTCAAGTGCTTGTACTTTGTTCTAACTACTTCATGCAATGAGCAACACAAGCCTATGATGCTTGTCACACTTGCAACAACTTCCATGGAGGCTTCAAAGAATTCAAACAAACCGAGGAATATAAAATGCACAATGCATATTGCAGCAGCTGGTGTATCCTATTAGCTGCATATTGAAAACATTATGAAGGATCAAATATATGATCTTCAAAATTATAAATCGAACAACATGAAGAGCAGGAATATATCTAAACAACTGCATCCCCAAATAATAATGATGAAAAAAAAAAAACACCAAATCAGCAAAAGCCTGCTAGAGCATACATGTATAACTAGAAGAGAAACAAAATGCTGATTTTAGCGGCACACACAAAATTAGAGTATCAAACTAAATTGAATTGAATATTGAGTGTTTCCGTATATGGTTGAAAAATAAAATTTAAACAGGGTGCTGGTAATAGCAAGTAAAATCATAATCTAAGTCGTGCCTTAGAATACTGTCTTTAAAAGTTATTATGTCACACCGGGCTGATCTCATGGCAACCAGCTCCCTAAAATTAAACTGTCACGCCTCAAAAATAGAGGATGACAGGCATAGGATATAAATTGTATCACACATTCTTTAAGACTCAAATCAAGAAAATTTTCCATTTTCAAAAGCATAATTAGATTTGCATTGAAATTATGACATCTTTAATAATATTTCTTTTAATGAAAGTTTTAATATTTTTATAGAAATTTCAACAGAACTTCCCTCATAAATAGGATCTCCCAAAATCTCTATAACAGAAAATATTATAATATGCATTCCACAAAGTAGAACTATATTCCCCAGCCATAGACAGTCAACATAATAAAACAAAAATCAAAATCCTAACTATAGTTAACATGGAGCACCTAAACATAAATCTCAAAATAAAACACATAATTGAATATTTACATCAAAAGAGAAAGGATTTACAAAGATAAATATTCATCCAGCACAATTGCAAGCCCTTAATGATCGGCAGGAGGTCCAACGTTAACTAATGAATCTGAAACCAAAATATTTTACAGTAAATAGCATCCCCAAAAATAAAATTTAAAAGAGCAAAATAATAAACTTACCATTATGTAAAATAATTACAAGGAAAATAATTCAATATAATAACTCACAAAATCTAAAGATATCAATTATAATAATAAAACATGAGTAAATTAAAATTACTTGACTTTGATATGCTAAAAGAGAACAATTTATTTATATTTAAGTAAAGGTAACAAACTTATTAACTACAAATATTGAAAATTCAAACATATTAGCTGAAAACAATCAATATGATATAATCATAAACTTGAAAATTAAGAAATTCCATATAGCTTCAAAAATACTAAACCACTAAATTTACAATAACAAAATAGTCTCAACGCTTTGCTCTTGTAAAATAAAATGGATTTAGTAAATAAATAAAAATAACATCCTTTATTACATAAAATCAATGAAATATGTATTTACAAATCAATCAAAAGCTAATAATTTAAGGACGTTGCAAAACAAGTAACAAATATGAACACATAATTCAGGAGGATAAAATAACCAAACGTCGCTTATACCACGAAAATAAACGTGGACACACAGTTTACGAGAGTAATACTAACCAAACACGGCTCAAAACCACGAAATCAAACGCAAGTACGAGGCCCACGAATAACAAACATGAGTGTGATGCTCACAAAATTCAAACTAGCTAGTCATTATCCAAGACCCCAGGGGCTAACGGAACTATCGTTAGCAACAGTATCCTACTTAAAATCCTCTTAAAAATTACTTTTCAAACATGCGAGAAAATAATCATTTTTAAAATATAATTTTCTTTCTCAATACCAAACTCACATGAATTATCTTATACTTCAATTCAATAATTGTCATAATAAAATTTCATAAATAATGTCCATTCTTGCATTTGTTGAGCAGCCAAAAATTTCAAGAATTTGATAATTAAAAAAATTTCCTTCATCAACCTTAAAAGTATATCTTTTCGAGAAAAATACTAACACAAATCATAATTTAATTATCCATTAAAATTATTCTATAATCTATAAAAAATAGATAATTTAATTAACAAGATTACTAACATATATCATAGTTGTTGATAACAACAATATACATAAAAATATAATAATTTCAATGAATGACTTTTATTAATCAATTAATTGGGGTGCCATTCACTTACTTGCTAAATTTCAAATCCAATAATTTCTTTCCTCAATTCTTATCAAGTCACTCATTTTCCACACACCCTATAAGAAAATGTATAAATAAAACCTCAATTTGCTTCCTGTAGTAATATAAACTTTATTTCACTACTGACACAATCCCAACCAATTGAAAGTATTCAAAATTCAAAAGCCAAAATTCATATCTTAAGGGTTTTCCAAATATCATCACTTACCACCAATTTACTTCATATTACTCCAATCATAACTACTATTTAAATGAGATATGATTTTCTTATATTTTGTGTCAAACACTTTGTGTGCAAAATTTCCAAACACCAATAATTAAATTTATCATACTTCTTTTACCTATTTTTCAAACACCTTAAATATATTCTCAAGATCAAATGATAAACACTACTATAATTATGAATTTATAAATTGCACAATATAAAATTTTTAAAAATTCAACTAACCACACTATTACTCAAGAATCAAATTCTTTGCAATGCTCAAGATAAAACTCACCTAAAAAAATTTTGAATCAATCATGCCTCTCATCACAATAAATAAAATTTTAAAAAAATTAAAATCAAGCAACTTCAAACAAGTATTTCATCGAACACCTTATAAGCACTAACCTCAAATTTTATGCCTAAACCCTTCTCTTCCAACTTCATCCCACCAAATCCTCAAAATCAATCAATCCAAATAAAATTACTTCAGCTTATAAATTCAGACCCGTATATACCATGATGAAACTTTAAGATACATTTCTAGCCCAACTTTGAATTTTCATTTTTTCTCCTCCCCACACAGCACGGGCAGCAGCAGAACCAAAAGAAAAAAAAAAATTAAAATTTCATCTCCATCACTTCACCCACACGCACATAAATTTTCTAAGGAAAGGAGAAGAGATCAAAGCTTCTCACCTCATATAAACCAACACGCATGAACAGGGGGAGGAAGAGAAAGTTGCGCCTGTACAGAGGAGGGAAAAGAGACTGTCGTAGAGCACAGAGAAGAGGTGAACAGATCGGTGACTGATAAAGCAAGCAAAAGAAAGCAAGCCATCTTACACTCATCCTCACAATCACACCATCAGCGCAGAAGAAAGATTTTCGTCGGGCTGGAACAGACGAGAAGAAAGGAAACGGAAGCCATGGGTTGCTGATCAGTGCCGGACGGAGCTGTGGCAAACACGCCGGCGAAGGTTGTAATCGGAAAGGACGAAGGAGAAGGTGCAGTAGAACGATCGAATAATTATTGGATCAGAGCTGCTTCCCTCTCTCCCTCGCAGGTCTCTGGAAAAATCGAAGAGGAAGATACTATATCATATTTGAGAGAACGGCACTTTGGTAATTTACTAAAAAAAATAAAAAAAATAAAAAACAAAAACCAAAACATAATTCTCCCTCTAGTCTCCGTCAAATTCGAACTTGAGACCTACCAAAAACTACCTACCTGCACAGGCACCGCTACACTTCCCTTACTTTCTCGCTTATGCCAAGAATTAATATATTTAAAATAAATACATATTATTATATATTTAATTTTTTTTAAAATTTTTGGATTATTACATAAACAAACTCTTCTTATAAAATGAGCAAGAATATGAAACAACAAAAATTTATGGAATGAACTCAAGCAACAACAAAGATAAAAGTGATATGATAGAAGAGGAGAGAAATCTCGACAATAGCTTAAAAATTGTGGTAAGCACAATTTTTTATAAACAGAAATCACAAAACATTGAACAATAAAGTCACTTTAATCATAATTAAAAAATAGTTTTAGATAATAAACACGTGTTCATTTTTAAATTTTCTACAATTTTATGCTTCGGGATATCTTTCATGCAATTATGCACTCTGGAGTCAAATTTGAGGTTAGATTTGGAATGTTTTATTATTTTTTGAGAAATTTAAAATAAATTATTCAGATTTGGAGTTTCGTATGGGATGAATTATTAATTTTTATATGCATAAAAAAATCTATTTTTATCTATTTAAAATTTAAATATGGTCATGTTTAAATTCAAATTAATATCTATCTATTTAATAACTCTATCCAACCTAATATATGACAAAAATTTAGATTCAATATTTTTTATATATATGACTTAGTAAATTAATATTTATCTAGTAATATTAAGTATCAATATTTTTTGATAAATGATTCGGTAAGGAATTCTTCAGACTTCATATTACAGTTAAAAATCAATCTAGCAATTTCATGCCAAAAAAATAAAAATATCAATCAGATTAATAAAAAGAACCACAATTTCCTTTGTTTTACTTAATATTCCTTAAATTTCCTTTAAATTATTCAAATTAATATATATTTATTTAATAACTCTATCAAACCTAAATATATGGTGAAAACCCGGGTTCATAACTTCAAGTATATATATATTGTTATATATTAGGATCCAAATTTAAATTAATATACATTTGTTTAAATATTTAGAAAAAGAATATGTGCTTTACTATTTAAATCTATCTTCATGAATTTCAAAAAATATATTTATGATAAAGTATAGATATTAATATATTTAATTATTTGGGTCTGATTATATTAAGTTCATATATTAATTTTTTCCATATTTATATAATTTGAATTCTGAACCCATTGTTTGAACTATTAATTTCATATATTAATAATCAGGATTTCATTATGTTAAATTCATATATTAAGTTTGGTAAAATTCAAATTCCTTTAATATCTACACTCAAAAAATAAATATTTAATATCTATTATTTTGATATTTTAATTAAATTACTTCTTAATTTTCCCTCCTAAATGAGCCTTATTGCATTATAAATTACTAGGATATGTTAATAGCACATTTCATACCTTCATGTCCAACTCAATTTTTTAATTGCATTAGGTTTATTCTTCTCTCAACTATTATTCATACTATTCATAGCTTTTACATTTGTGATTTATGCAATTCGTATCATCAATAAAACAAAAAAGGATTAGTGCATTGTAATTAAGGTGATTCACGTTTGAAGATTAACAGGCAGAAATACATCTAAAGAATTCAATAATGTTGAATTAGTTTTCGAGAATGATGGAGTAAGTGTTTATGTTGTACTTCTTTTTTATAATTTGATTACATCAATTATATCTAATATATGATACTTATTTTATCTATGGGACAACATTGCTATAGAGTGACTAAATCTCGGCAATCATTTGAAAGCCTTTTGCAAGACATTTTTGAAAATAGGTTGCATCTCTTTAAAATATACAAAATTTTAAAATTTAGGGGCTCTCAATGTTCTTGATCATGTAAGACAATAGATCATCCTTACAAGATGAACTTTCATATTCTCTACCAATGTGAAGTTGCATCTTGAGATGGGTTCCATCTATCATTTTGGGTTTAATTTTGTTAATATTCTAAAACTTGCAAATAAGGAGGCAACAAATGATAATTACATAGTTGGTATGTATTTAAATTTTTTGAATTTGTTTTTTTGAAAATAATAATGTTTTTATTTAATATGTACAACTCTCCTATCAAATAAAATAAATAGGTTTGAAAGAGTTATTTATTCTTTTGGACCTATTTATTTAATAGATTCAGAGTATGAAGTTGGGTTCCAGATAATTTATCATTTTTATAGATTTTTATTTTATGTTAAATAGATTTATCTATTTGAAATTTAAATTGAACAATTTAAAATGGAGTAAGTAGATTATTTTAAAATTTCATACAATAATAAAATTAAATTCTTGTTATATTTTGACTGGTCCAACTTAAAAAATAACTAATAAAATGTATTGATCTATCTATTTGAAATTCAAATTATTATTTCGTTATGAGACAATTATATAATATCTTTAGATTTATAATATTTTCTCTCATTTAATTAGTTATTTACTGTATACAATCAATAAATTAGGATTTTTAATAAATACAAAAAATATTATATAATTATAATAAATATTAATATTAATATTAAAATTATTTTTAAAATATAAATTTTAACACTAATCAATTAATATTTTTTAGCAACTTTAAATTATGTTCTTTTAGATATTATAATATAGTATTTTAAATTTTATTTTTTATGATAAATTTTATAAATATAATATAATTATTTTTAATCTTTCGTTTTCAATGTATTTTCAATTTAATATTTTATTTTATTTTTAAACATTATTTTTACTTTAAAATTAATTTTTTACTTTTGAAAAATTATTTTATTATGAGATATTTTAATAATTAAATTTCTTTATATTTTTATATATATATATATCATTAATTTTTTATTTAATATCTTTATTTTAAGGATACAATATTATATGATTTTTTTAGCTATGAAAAGAGATCAAGAACAGTTTTTGGATGAAATTTTATCATTCATATCCAAATGAAAAAGATTTTCAGTAAAATTTTAAATATATGTTAAATTACAACTAATCAATTTTAAATCATATTAAAATTTTTAGTCAAAAATAAATTTCTACCAAAATACTTTAACATTATATTTACATTTTAGATGATAGAAAATTAAGATTTGTATAGCTTATATTATATTTTGTGGTTTATATTATTTTGATTATACATCAAAGGTTATTATTGTCTTTTAGATGTTTAATTAAGGTACTTTATAATCTATATATGTATTAGTATAACTAAAATTTTTAATTTTTTTAAAAAACTATACAGACTTTTAAGCTTAGCCCTAAATCTTATCAATAAATATCAGACTTACAAAAAATGAGTTTATGAACTTGAGCTCTTATAAGATTTGGGTCAACTCTTATTAATAATTTTGTATGCATCTTATATATGATTTGATACTTGAGAAGTTAGGTTTTTGCTGTTAGTTTATAAATAAGTTTGGAAAAAAATTTTAAATATTTATAGATAAACTAAAATAATGGTCACAGTGTGTGTGTGTGTGTGTCATAGAGTGTGTGTGTGTGTGTGTGTGAAATATATATTTATATAGCTAAATTTATTTTAAAATATGATTTTAAATGTTTATATTGATAGATTAGCATCTTATTTTAAGTAATTAAAGATCTATTAACTTGAATTTTAAAGATGAATTCTATTTTAAATTTTAAAATTTAAAAGTACTCATATTAATTATTTATACTAAATGTAATTCAAATTTTTAAAGTTATTTTAATTATTTAAACTGATCTTATGTATAAAATATTTTCGTGAGAAGTTACAAAAAAGTTATTAAATTAACTAGGCAATGATTATTTTAATATGTATATTTTTAAATGTCACATGTTATTTTATGTATACTTCAAATTGTAACACGTGTCTCTTTTTGAGTGCTTTAAATTGTGCCACACCTATTTTTTTAAATCAAATAATAAATACTCTATTTAAACAAATTATAATTTATAATAATTATAAATGGGCCAGTTTGAAAAAAAATTGATTTTAAAAAAGAATATTCTTTTTTATATTTATATGAGTTAAAAAATTATCTGGTTGATAATATTTAATATTATTTTGTGGATCTCAAAAAATTTTATTTAAATTTCAAAATGTTAACCAATATAGTTTTAAAGATCTATAGTTTAAATAAGATTGTCAAATTCAAATAGAATTTTCCTCCCATATAGATATTATACCAATTATAAATAAGTGATGTTGTTTACTATTTCCTTTTCACACTTATGGATTTAATTAAGGGTTATTAAAGGATAGTGTTGCTCCAAATGTAAGTTAACTTTGAACCTTAATTAAATAAAAAATTATGAAAAAAGATCCAAAAATATAGACAAAGAGAAAAAATACACAGAATGATCAAGAAAAAAAATTTTGGTCTCCTTTTTATAATTTTTAAGGTCCTTTTCAATAATTATTTTGCCAACTAATGATTAAAGTTATCATTTATTAACTGTAGGAATGATATTACATTGTCTTCAAAAATTAGAAGAAAACATTGCACAAAAAATGAGTTTAAGAGACAAATTGGTCATTCAACCCTTTAATTAACTTTGTAACATTCTCGAGTCTATTGTGCATGACTAATTTATATAAATGTAAGATTTTATTTTAGTATTCTTCTAGTGATTCTATGATTGTTGGTTTGTGGATATGTTTGAACTCAATTTTTAAATATTTATGTAAAAAAAAATTTATATAGTTACAGTATATCTTTTAAAAATATAAATTATTTTTATCCATCTCTTCATCTATATTTAAATCTTTAAAACTCAAATTACTATGAAATATTAAAATTTGATGAATTTTCATAAAATCAAATATTATCAAAAGGGTAAGATATTGATTATTTCTTGTGTGAAG